GCTCAAGCAACCTCCAAAAGATACATATACTTATATTCTGCAACCCCATTCTGCCGAGGAGTATGCATACAGAAACTTTGATGGATAATTCCCAAGGATTCAAACAAGGGAGAACACTCAGAATTAAAAAACTTGCGACCATTGTCACTACATATGATTTTAACTGAGACAGAAAACTGAGTTTGAACCATCAAGATAAAGTTTTAAAGACAAGAAGCAACATCATTCTTAAGCTTCAATAAGTACACCCAAGACATTCTAGTATTGTCATCAACAACAGTACAAAATCGTTGACCATCATGAGTTGAAATGCGATAAAACCCCCATAAATGAATGTGAATCAAGCTGAAGGGAGTAATAGTCCTAGAACTACTAATTGGGAATGGAAGCCTATACTGTCTAGCTAAAGGACAAATAGAGCAATTATGAACTGAATCATGATGCAAAGCAGTGTTATGAAACATAGGCAATCTACTCAATTGAGAAACTGGAACATGCCTTAAACGAGCATGCCAGAGATGTGTTTTATTAGCATCAACGGATTTACAAGCATTGAGAAATATCTTAGAACTAGTAGAAGATTACAAGCAAACTTTTATAAACCAGAAACAGAAAAAACAGTATTTAAAGGGAACCTAAGCAGATAAAGACACCTAAATCCTTTACCAATCACCCTCATCATGCCACTGTAAAGATCCTGCAAGATGCAAAGATTAGGATAAACAAGACATCACATTTTAAATCATGAGCTAATTTGAAATCAGAGACAAGATTGTGAGTAAAGTGAGGCACATGAAGAACATTAGACAACTGAATACCATTTGGTAATTCAACAGAACCTATGTGAGTGACATAAAAAGATTTGCCATTAGGGAACTGAACATATCTAGGAGTAGTTGTACAAGGCACGTGATTAATCATGAAGTAAAGTCTGACAAGATGTGGTCAGTTGCTCCAGAATCCATTCAATTGAAGTATGAGCAAGAGAACAGAAAGTACCTGCCAAACTCATAGAGGAATCTGGACTAGAAGTCTGATTCAAAAGATGCTTATATTGCTTTGATGTAAAGACTGGTGGATCTGGAGAAACGACTCAGGAACATAACTATCAGACTCATAATGAACTGCCATGGCAACCTGGGAGCCCTTCTTTTTGTTGAATTTGAAGTCAGGTGAAAAACAATAAGCCTATAACAATTTTCTTTCTTATACCCCTTGACCTTGCAATGATCACAAGTTCCATTGAACCTTATGCGAGTGCCAGAAACATTAAAATACAAAACAGTAGATTCCATGAAAGGAACAACACCAGACAATTGAAGACAGTGAGACTCTTCTTGAATTATCATAGAGTATACACTATTGACTGATGAAAAATGCCACATCAATAACAATTGACTACAAATGGCAGCATAAGAATCATTCAATCCCATTAAAAACTAAAAAAGTCTCTGTTGAGATATGTGCCTCGAACTAGATTGAGTATTCTAACAGGTGTAAGTCGAAAGAGGCACCAACGTATCATACTCATCCCAGAGAAGTTTCAGATGTGAGAAATATCCAGACATAGAAAATTCACCTTGAACCAGTGTTGCAATCTCACGATGGAGGAAGAACACTCGCGAACCATCAACCTTATCAAATCGTTCCTTGAGATCTGCCCAAACCAAAGCCGCACTTGAAGCAAAAACAATACCAACAGACAGCTCATTGCTAACATAATTGATGATCCAGGAGAGCACAAGGGCAATGTATCTATCCCATTGAGCTTGAAGAAGATGTTGAAAATCATCGCGACATCATACTCCATTAACAAATCCTAACTTATTTTTGGCGAGAAGAGCGATTCTCATAGATCGACTCCAGATAGTGTAGTTGTCTAGCCCAGACAATTGATGCGAAATTAGAACCGTATCAGGAGTATCCGAAAGATGAAGATATAAGGGATGATTGAAATCAATCACGGTGGAGTCCGCCATAAGAAGTGTCGTTGGTGGCATGTTCAGTGGTTTCGTCGTCGGCAGAAATCTAACTTATCCAAAAAATGTGAAATGAGAAAACAAGAACGAGCCCAAGAAGGAAAGGGCCAGTGATTTCAGTTAGCCTGGTACCATGTTAAAATGTAAAATCATAATGTGAAAAATTACTTCTCATATCCACCTTTTTTTATAAACTTACAATTTGTTCACAATATATACAAGTGTTAACTCTAACAACCTAACTTATTCAAAATTGCTTCTAATTAACTAGTAACAGAAATCTAACTGTAAACTTAACACAAACAACCATAACAAATGAAAAATACCAACAAAAAATAATTATTTACGGTAAATAATAAACACTGTCAACAATAACATAAAAAGATATGCATAATAATAATGACTAGTTGATGAATTGACATTAGCACGACTCAATCACGACATAACTTTGGTATTACGAGTGTTTATCAATATTCAGTTTAATAGTCCAAAATAAAGATAAATCAATAAAAAAAATGTTATTTGAATTTTGAAAAATGATGTTAAATCTAACACTAAAAAAATGTGCTACAAGAATAAATAAAATTATGTATCATTTTCTATATAAGAAAGGGAAAACTAATTAAACAGAAAACTATAACATATGTTATAAGAAAAGAAAAGAAAAGAAAGACCAATAATTGATAACTAGTTCAAATATTATTTTTATCGACGATGAAAAATATAAGAAATTAAGAGAGAAATGACGAAAAAGGAGTGGTATATCCATATAATTAAATACATATATAGATAAAATGATGGCATAATATTGATTATGTTTAATATTTCTTAATTTAAAGAAATTTATTGTTATAAAAATATATATTTTAAATATTTGCCAAGAGTTAAAAAAGTAGTAATAGTTTATAGGTTAAAATATATAGATGATCCCTCAATTATAGAGTGTTGTTTTGTTGAGTCACTTACTATTAAAAATAACAAAATGATTATTTGATGTAAGATGTTACTTTGTTTAAAATATTATTTTTATAGATAAAATGATGGCATAATATTGATTATGTTTAATATTTCTTAATTTAAAGAAATTTATTTTTATAAAAAAATATTTTTTTTTAATATTTGCCGAGAGTTAAAAAAGTAGTAATAACTTATAGGTTAAAATATATAGATGATCCCTCAATTATAGAGTATTGTTTTATTGAGTCACTTACTATTAAAAATAACAAAATGATTATTTGATGTAAGATATTACTTTGTTCAGCCACCTGACTATTAAAAGTTATAAAATGACCACTCAACTATTCATATATTTCAATCTCATTATTTTTATTAAAGAATTGACAATTGTCTAAGCTGGATGTTAATATGTTGGCTAATATATGATAAAATCTGATCTCGTAATTGTTTAATTTGTATTTTGTGGATTAATTCTTCGTTTATATTATGTTGTCGAGCCGGCGCTTAAAATATTATATTGTCAAGTCAGTGCTTCAAAGCATCGACGATATTAGTAGACATTACTAAAATATGATTTTATCATATCATAATCAACAAGTTAACATCAAACTCAGTCGACCGTCAATTTTTAACGAAAAATGATGAGTATAAAATATATGTTGTCGAGCCGGCGCTTAAAATATTATATTGTCAAGTCAGTGCTTCAAAGCATCGACGATATTAGTATACATTACTAAAATATGATTTTATCATATCCTAATCAACAAGTTAACATCAAACTCAGTCGACCGTCAATTTTTAACGAAAAATGATGAGTATAAAATATATGAATAGTCGAGTGATTATTTTATAACTTTTAATAGTAGAGACACTCAACAGAACAATACTCTAAAATTAAGGGATTATTTTATAACTTTTATTCTAAAGACTCAACAGAATAACGCGGTATATTTGAAATACCATTTACTTTATCCTAATTTATACTGTTTTTATTGTGTGCGTGGGGTTTAATTGTTGGTAAAGTGAGGAAAATCTTAGGGCATAAAATTGCGGTGGGAAGGAAGAGAGGGAGGGGGTGGCGTGAAAATTCGGTGTCACGCCGTCCAAACGAACCTTTCGTATCATTCATTCATTTACCCTATCTATCTATGCATATGCCACCCCACGCGCAATCAATAACCCTCCTTCCCTTCCTTCTTACTATATATATATTTATATGTTCATTCTTTTCTTTACATCTCTTACATTTTCATATATATATATATAACAACACTGTCTCTCTCCCTTCCCAAACACTAACACTGTCTTATAAACTCTCTGATTTCGATCTTCGGGCAAAGTATTCAATCGAAGAACAAGCCAAAGATCCCAATATTTTCATCTTGTGAGTATACATATTTGCGCGCGCGTCTTTAATATATATATATAGGAGCTCCCCTCTGCAATCGGCAGTTCACTCCGATCAGGGTTCTTTGTTAGCCTTTGTCATGCATATATATTCAAAAGAATATTGAATTTCTAAATCATGCATATAGATCAAGTAGCATCAATGTGGTAAGTAGATCAGAAGAGTTTAGTTTCTTTCGTTTAATGGAGAAGATGGAGCTCTGATAGCCCATCACCGAGTAGAATTTGAGGGTGTAATTTTAGTCTAACATATTTAGTTGGTGGGGTGTGAAAACATATTATCCACTCAAAGCAACACCATGCTTGTTTGTGCCAGAAAACGAAGTCAAGCTTTTCGGCAAAATTTTTATGCTTAATTTGCCCCCGCCTAAGCTCATGCAACTCCACCAAACATAACACTACTTTGGGTTCAGTATAGCCTGACTCTCTCTCTCTCTCTTTTTATTTTATTTTATTATGAGATTGAATGAAAAAAAAAGCATGCAGGGGCCAACCAGCTTTGGGTCCCCATAAGTTACATCATAATCATCATTGATCACCCACTATATCATAAAAAAAGTAGCTACTCTTGCAACTCAAGAGTTGAGGAATGAAGTATATAGGCAAAAACATGTGCGTTCACTTCCATTATCGTTTATAAAAAGCATTGGCAATTCATGTCATCCAAGAGTCATGTCTTTCTCTCCCAAGTTTCCCTTGTATTTAGGATTAGGCCATTCAACCCTATGTTTGTTGGGACACAACAGCTTTGTTATAAACCCTTGGGAAAACCTTGATTTATGCTTTCACTCTTTGTTCTTTTGATATTAATAGTTTTTTTTCATGTTTTCCAGGAGTAGATCCATGATGGATTTGGAATCATGCGTGCCACCAGGCTTTAGATTTCATCCTACTGAAGAAGAACTTGTAGGATATTATCTCCAAAGAAAGATTAATGCACTCAAAATTGATCTAGATGTTATTATCGAGATTGATCTACACAAGATGGAGCCGTGGGATATCCAAGGTAAATTTATTCATCAATTAACCAATGCTGTATATCTAAGATCTGAAAGTTTTTAACTTGTTGGTCCTACCCTAGCTAGGGTTTGACGTTTTGCAAAAGAAAATGTAAAAAGAATCAATTCCTTTTAGTCCAACTTTTCTCTTAGTCATAAACTAATGAATGTAATGATATATATTACCATGCCATGACAGAGGTCAAAGGGATATTTTCAAAGCTAACATATGTTCACACTAGCTAATACACGGTTTGGGTTTGTGCAGCAACATGTAATGTAGGGAATGAAGAACAAACCGAGTGGTACTTCTTCAGTTATAAAGATAGGAAGTATCCAACGGGAACAAGGACGAATAGAGCCACTGCGGCTGGGTTCTGGAAGGCAACAGGGAGGGATAAATCTGTGCTTTCTAAGAACAAAATTATAGGGATGAGAAAGACCCTGGTTTTCTATAAAGGCCGTGCACCTAATGGTCGGAAAACTGATTGGATCATGCATGAGTATCGACTCCAAACTTCTGAACTCGGACCGCCCCAAGTAAGTTATATATATATATATATATATATATATATATCGATGAAGAATTGGAGATGTGTGTTTACTGATATAATGAGTTCATTGCGATTGCAGGAAGAAGGATGGGTGGTGTGCAGGGCATTTAGAAAGCCGAGTCCTAATCAAAGGCAAGGCTTCGAAGCATGGAACCATGCTTACTATATAAGAGATAGCAGCCAAGTTAGGCCTCATATTTCCATTTCAGATCATATAGCAGCAACTCCATCTCACCTTCATCTTCACACGAATCAAGGATCGAGTTTTTATGAATCCTATGGTTCCGATAACCACAATTTTTTGGACAGCCAACAACAAGTCATTGAACTACCGCAACTGGATAGTCCCCCGGCCATTACTGTCTCACCAAGTTTAGCAGAAAAAGAAGTGATTTTCCACTGCGATGAAGAAAAAAACAATAATAGCAGCAGTCAAATACACATTATCGACTGGAAGAACTTTGACAACTTGATTAACTCTCAGTTGACCGATACCACATCTTATCCATTTCAAAGTACTGCGACTCTAATATCCCACAACGATGAAGTAGAAGCTCAAGAACAACACAATCTGCTGGGTTGCTTCCCTGAATCATAGCGGAAGCACAAAGTTCTATAACTCATTTATGCTATAGAATGCCTGATTCAGACACCTGAAACTCTTGTGTCAAATGAATATTATATATATATATATATAAATTTGAAAATTATCCTTGATCAGATTTACCAAACGTATAAAGAGAGACTTCCTGCATGCTTTAGAGTGCAGAAAGTTTCACTTTTTTTACTTTTCTTCTTTTTCTTCTTCTTTTCATTTGTCATGTTTACGAAACTGTATATTGCGCATGCACAGGTGCATATATATGTATGTTATAATGTTTGTCTTTGCTCATTTGATTATTGTTTTTCATTAACTCGACTCTTTTTCTTTGGTCACGCCATGAAGATCTCTCTATAAATTGTTAAACTTCTCTATATTCTCTCTATTTATTTATCATGGTAGAGGACAGAAAAAATGGCATTGACAGTATCATTGGCATTTCTCTATAAATTGCAAGTGAGGTGAAAAGTTTCCGGTCAGCTCGATCACTATTTATATTTGTTGTAAGATGAATTTAGTTTTAAAACTGTTCACAGTGTGTATCATTTGGAATGTATAGAATTATAAATCTTTATTGCATCGACGATAAAGGGGGAAAGTTGAGTACTAGACTGATGGTGTCGCTTTTGAAGAGCATGGCAGAAAATGGTGGCTGAAAATACTAGTGTTCTTTAGTCCAACATGACAGAACAGTGGCTTGCATGCGGCTGACCTCATCATTTCTTTAATTTGCAGTTTACTTTATTAACGTCTTTTAAATTCATGGGGGGTCATATTGCCCCCCTTTTTTTTTATGAATTTCCATCTAGTTTTGAACGTGTAATTTGTGATTATGGGTGGATTAATATAATTTTTTGAATTAACAAAAATAAATCCCGGCAACAAAAAATTAAAAATCAAATTCAATTTGGTTGGCGAGAGCTAAATCCAAATGAAAATAGGAACCCAAAGGCCCAAAAGTTTCAAATCCATAAGGCCTGTCGAAACGCGGCCTTCTCTTCTGACATTTTCTTATTTTGAAAAGGGTAAATATATTTTCAGCGCCTGAATTTAATCCTACTATTTAAATCGGTACATTAACCTAATTTCTTGATTCAATTTGACACTGATGATTCTTTTTTTCCTAGTAGAGACTTTAACTTTAAATTTTATCTCAATTTAATAATTATTATTTTTTATCCAATTAATTATTACATTTAAATAATAATTATATTTTATAATATTTCAAAATTATTTGAATTCTTTTAATTCCACCTTACCAATGTAAATCCACGTAATCTAATTTGAACTAATAAGAAATCTGAAGGTTTCTAATTGGATAAACATCAAATTAAACTGAAACATCAAGTTCAAATATTTAATTCTACCAAAAACAATCACTAAGTATTAAATTGAATCTTGAAGTAAAATTTAGATACCAAAACATATATTTACCCATTTTGAACAATGTCATGGGAGTCATGGGTAAGCCTTACCTTCAACCACTAGCAAAGTCCGCTTCTGATTCGGAGAGTTAGTTCTTTTGATGTTTGAACAGCGAGGACCGAAACTTAGAAAGAAAGGGAAATGCTTCTCCAAACTACAATATCACCTCGGCCTGTGTATCATGGGCCTGTGTATCTGGGTCTCTCAAGTTCACCCGCAAAAAACTCTTTTTCCAGGTCAAACATCACTACCCTTCCCTGTTTATTCTCATAATTCTTCACACCTGGGTTTTTGCTTTAAATCATATCAACTTTTTCAAAACAACTCGGCATGCTGCAGCTGTACATATAGGAGGCATAGATAGATATGGGATATAACATTGCAAAGAGAGATCTTTGCTGTTAGAGTTGTGTGACCCAAATTCTTTTTTATCAGACTCGAGGTGATTAGTAAGAAACTCACTTAAAAGAGAGGTTAAAGTGGGATAAGTGGTGGGGGGAGGAGCAATTTCTAACATGACAAGGTGTTTCAATTGTTTTTAGTTTTATTGGTAAAGAACAATTTTCTTAGGGAAATAATTAGTAGCAAATTAATCAAGCTAATGTTCTTGTTTGATTGCTTCAATTGGCATAGTTATATTGTGAATTAAATGATGTGATAGCAATGACTACGTTAAAAATAGTAGCAGAACATTCACAAATTTGTGAAATCATCCATGTTAGTCACAGGCTATGTTACTTGGACTTCGATGTGAGTGTCGGATTTGGTTGTTTCTGACGCTTACATGTTTGATTTTTTTCTAAGTTTCTTCATGGGGTTGAAGAGCCTTTGGAGAATTATATCCCCATACATATGTCCGAATGTGTGCTGGACATGGGTGGCAGCAACATAGGCTACAAAATTCTGCTAAAAGAGAGTCGAAAAGCGAGATAAACCTGTTTCTTTTAGCTTAATAAAGAACATTGGATAATGCTGCATTCAATGGTCCAGGCTATTGTTAGGTACTATCGTGAACCGGCTCTGAAAAACTCAGGGGCAGGCGATGGAGTGAATCACACTAAACTTCTCAACCTATAGGTAAGTGTTTTTTACTCTCTTAGCTTCAATTGCTTTAACATGAAATCTTTGTTTCACAGAGAAAAACTGCAACATTTATTGTAGATAACTTTTCGATTATTTATTCTTTGTTTAATTTAGTCATTCTACATGCTTGCATCTGTTATTGACTTGGTCTGTGTTGAGCTACTATGGTAAATGACTAACAAGAATACATGTAAATTGAATGAAGTAAGTTGATTGTATTGATCAGCTCTTCTTACATCCTTATATACAGCATTACAGGTTTGTTATTTCTTTAACAGTCTTGAATCTGACATATAACAAACTCAACAGATTACAAACAACCCTAGCTTCTAGCAAACTTCTAGAATTACTAAGCTGCATGAATGAGCAATGCTGATGCCCACACCAATCACTCACAGATTCATACTTCTAACATTCCCTCTACTTCTTCTCTTCTCCTGGTCTTGAGAGAACTTGAACCCCAAGCTTTTCTCGAAACATTTCAAAAGCTGCTTTGGACAGAGGCTTAATAAAACCGTCTGCAATTTGATGAGATGCAGGAATATAGTTCACACAAAGCTGTTGAGCTGCTACCTTTTCGCGAATGAAGTGCACATCGAGATCCACGTGCTTTGATTGAGCATGGTAAACCGGATTGGCACTCATTGCCACAGCCCCTGTGTTGTCACACCAGATAACAAATTTTCCATGTTGCTTCAACCCAAGTTCACTGATTAGTGTACTGACCCAAGTGACTTCAGCTGTGGTATCAGCTAAACTTTTGTACTCAGCCTCCATGGTAGAACGTGACACATTTTTTTGTTTCTTGGAGCTCCAGGCAACCAGGTGGTTGTCAAGGAACACACCAAAACCTGAAATTGAGCGACGATCAGAAACATTGGCACCCCAGTCAGCATCAGCAAACGCAGAAACGGCATACCGTGCCTTGGATGGCAGGAACATTAATCCATACTCAAGAGTTCCTGCAAGATACCTCAGAATTCGTTTGACAGCTGAGAAATGACTTGCAGTGGGAGCATGCATAAATTGGGCCACCTTCCCAACGCTAAATGCTAGCTCTGGCCTGGTGTGACAAACATATAGTAATGATCCAACAATGGACCGAAACATTGTAGCATTAGCCAATGGCTCACCATCTTCAACTAGTTTGGGGTGCCAGAATCATAGGCGTTGCACATGGTGAAGATTTTCCATGCAACTTTCCTCCAGTTCTAAGATAAATTTCTTTTGGCTAAGCATTAAAGAACCACCACACCGTTTTACTTCTATTCCCAATAAATAGCTAAGAGGCCCTAGGTCTTTGAGTGAAAAAGTATCTCGAAGTGTGCTCACAATCTTATTAATCAAGGATGATGATGACCCTGTGATTACTATCATCCACGTATACTAGAAGATAGATATGTTCGGTACCTGATATTGAGAAAAATAGTGAGGTGTCAGCTCGAGACACTTAAAAGCCAATTTGTAGAAGCACATCCTTTAGTTTTGTATGCCTGTTGCGAGGAGCCTGCTTCAATCCATAAAGCGCCTTTTGCAGTTGACATACAAGAGGCGAACCATCTGCTGCGGATTGCACAAAACCAAGTGGTTGCTGCATGAAAACTGCTTCTCTTAGATCACCATTAAGAAAAGCGTTGTTGATATCGATGTGTCTTAATTCCCAATCATTGGCTACAGCAACAGACAATATAATGTTCAGTGTTGTAAACTTTACAACAGGACTGAAGGTGTCCAAATAGTCTTGTCCAGGAACCTGCGAGAAACCTTTGGCAACCAGGCGTGCCTTGTATCTATGAACTGAACCATCTGGGTTACGCTTTACCTTAAATAGCCACTTACACCTACTGCAACCGACCTGGAGGGAGTTTAACAGAGTCCAGGTGACGTTTCTGATAAGAGCATCAAACTCTTCTTGACAAAGCAGCAGCCCACTTGGGTGACTGTAGTGCTTCATCGACAGTGGAGGGAACAACTCATCAAAATGACAGGAGAAAGGTTTTGTTTGTAATACCACGCTTGCCCTTGTGATAGGATGTTCGTTCACATGAAATCTATCACCAGCAGGAGGAATTTCTAAATTGAGGTTACTGGCAGGAATATCAGAATTGCCTTCAGTATTCGCATTTGTTCCACTAGTGTTACTGTTGGGAGTAGCTAGGTGAGAGGTTCTCCAAAATTTCTTCAACAGGATTGTCTGGCATGGTTCCACCACTCACGTTAGTGAAATCATTCGAAGACTCACCCACTGCCTCTTCCATACTAACATCATCCATGTTGAAGGGCGATGTTTCTCCTGGTGTAGAAATGCCTGGAGTATTCGGATGAGCAGACTGCTGCACAGGTACAAGCTGTCTGTGTGGTACAATCTCAAGGGATTGAGAGTAGCGATTTTGAACCACATGTGATATAACCGGGGGTACCTGACCTGCAAAAGGAAACATAGTTTCATTAAAGACTACATGCCTAGAGACATAGACCTTTCCATCAGCAGACAGGCACAAAAAGCCTTTGTGTTGGGGGCTGACACCGAGATAAGTGCATGGTTGAGATCGAAAAGAAAGTTTATGAGCTTGAAAGGGTCTTAAATGAGGGAAGCATTGGCATCCAAACACCTTGAGCTCATCATAGTTTGGCTTCTTCCCAAATAGCTTTTCACTAAGGGAGAGCCCTTGCAAAACCTTAGTAGGCAGTTTGTTTATTAACTGAGCAGCAGAAATAATTGCATATGACCAAAATTCAGTGGTAGTGCTGCCTGTGCCAGTAATACAAGAGCCTCTCGAAAAGAAAGTTTATGAGCTTGAAAGGGTCTTAAATGGGGAAGCATTGGCATCCAAACACCTTGAGCTCATCATAGTTTGGCTTCTTCCCAAATAGCTTTTCACTAAGGGAGAGCCCTTGCAAAACCTTAGTAGGCAGTTTGTTTATTAACTGAGCAGCAGAAATAATTGCATATGACCAAAACTTCAGTGGTAGTGCTGCCTGTGCCAGTAATACAAGAGCCATCTCAACCAAATGCCTGTGCTTTCTCTCAACAACTCCGTTCTGCTCGGATGTGTGAGGACAGGACAATCTGTGAATGATACCATCTTTGGCTAGAAGTGGGGAGAGGCTACGAAACTCACCTCCCCAGTCACTCTGTACAGACTTAATGGAGGCACCAAACTGTGTTGATACCATCTTTTGGAATAATAGAAATGCTTTAGTGGCTTGAGATTTATACTTGAGAAGATAGATCCATGTGTGTCTAGTACATGCATCAATAAACGAAGCATAATACCTGAATCCATTCGAGGATATGTGTGGAGGTCCCCACAAGTCAGTGAAAATAAGCTGGAATGGGGTATCATAAATTGTGGTAGAATGCATAAACGGTAATCTGCGACTCTTTCCCATTTGACAAGCAGTACATGTGTTATTAGAATCTAAAGAAAATTTTACATCAAGCTCTTTAGTTATTTGTCTCAGTATTTCAGTAGAGGGATGGCCAAGTCTTCTATGCCATAACTCCTCGAGCTCACTAGTAGGAGATTTAGTAACTAAGCAAACATCAGCAGCAGTGCATCTATCTTCAGTGTGACTTGCTATAAATGAGTAAAGCCCTCCAGACTCTTCACCAGTTAGAAGCACTCTATTGGTAACCTCATCACGTACACAACAGTTATTTGCATGGAACTCAAAGAATATGTTATTGTCCCTAGCAAGCTTCGAAACAGAAATCAAGTTTTTGGTTATATGGGGAACATGCAACAAATCATGCAGCATCAAAATTCTGAATTTAGCAGGTAAGATTGACCTACCAACCGTTTGAATGTCAAGGGAAACACCGTTACCAACTGTAATTTTACCTAGTCCAAGAAAATCAGAGGCATTTGTAAGATTTGCTTTGTCTGAGGTGATGTGATGTGTGGCACCCGAGTCCACCACCCAACGTTCAGAGGATGCAGTAGCCATGTTTGCTTGAGAGTCTGATTTCAACCGTGAGCAACACTCGCAGCCCTGGTTACCACTGGTAGAGACTGAACCAGACGAGGGATAGCTACTGGAGGAACTGTCCTTGGACGAGTGATAATAGTTGGTATTAACACATGTGAAGTCTTCATCAAATCTATGCCAACAACGGTCAACCAAATGACCTAGCTTCCCACAGAGTTGACATTGAACACGTGACCGACCACGCCCTGGACCACCATTCCTCGATCCAGACGAAGATGATGTTGCACGATTGCCCCTATGATCTTGACGGTTAGAGACGTTACGATCAGTATCTCCTTGAGCATAATTAGCAAACATTGGTAGAATGTCCTGACGTTCATCAAAGCCCGCAATTTGGACCTCAGCATCCATCAGCATAGTGTAGATATTATCAATTGATAAATCCTCCTTCATAGTAGAAACAACAGCTATGAAGGGCTGGTATTCACGAGGAAGGCCCTTCAAGATGGCCACAATTTGCTCGACTGTTGGAACAACACTTCCACACGAGGCAAGAGCATCACATACTTCCTTGATGCGCGTGAGAATACTCTCATAGAATCATTACCTTTTCTTATAGACTGCAATTTGTAATGTAGGCTCATAACAGACATAGTCGAGCGATTTGCAAAGAATTTTAAAACTGTTTCCCAAACAGCAGCAGCTGTTTCCCAAACAGCAGCAGCTGTTTCTACTCCAACGAACTGTGGTAGCAAATGCGTACTCATCGTTGATAGAAGCCACGATGCCAGCGCACTGTCCTGCGCAACAAAATCCTCGTACTCTACATTCACTCGCGTCTCACCATTTGGATCAAGAACCGTCATAGGCGGTGAAGAGACATCACCAGTTAGTAAACGCTCCAGCCGATGACTCCTAACTGTGAGTAAAACTTGCTGTTTCCAAAGCAAGAAGTTGGTTTCATCAAGAACCACATTAACTCTCTTGTTGGAGAAGCTTCGAGCTGTAGACGAGGTAAGATCCATGAATGAGCTGAACTTCAAGAACCTTTATTCACGAGCGGAAGTAAGAGCATAAAATCCCACGATCAATGGCGATTGATACCATGTTGAGCTACTATGGTAAATGACTAACAAGAATACATGTAAATTGAATGAAGTAAGTTGATTGTATTGATCAGCTCTCCTTACATCCTTATATACAGCATTACAGGTTTGTTATTTCTTTAACAGTCTTGAAACTGACATATAACAAACTCAACAGATTACAAACAACCCTAGCTTCTAGCAAACTTCTAGAATTACTAAGCTGCATGAATGAGCAATGCTGATGCCCACACTAATCACTCACAGATTCATACTTCTAACAGTCTGCCCCTTCGGTTTCATCCCGACTGTTACAATCGTTTTCCTAAAGTAAATTTCATTATGTTTTTTCTCAGCATTTTGACTTTAATAATTTCTACTTGTAGATAAATCCATTCAACCTAACGGATGCAGCTAAATTTTATTCATTTTTAGGGCTGGCTGCTTTTAAAGTTGATTTTTAGCGGCTAGATTTCCTTTTATTTTATTTCATGATTTCTTAAAGTTTAGCACCTTCAAACTATTTTACTTGGTGCTTATTCCTACATATATTGGTCCAAACAAATGTCTTGACTGATCATGAGAAGTAAGCATGTTTTTTTCCTTTTGATACTCTTTTTATATATGCAAACTCTTTTGCTTTTATGAAAATTGAGAAATTTAGCAGTAAAACTGAGAGAGGTAAACTATACTCCGCTCTGCATGTATAGATCATATTTATCTTTATTCCAAAGTATATTAAGAAATGCATAATTCTCAGAAACCGGCAATATGATTAGTGTTGGGAGGAGTAATGCTGGCGAGCTGGAATGATGATTGTTTATCCCTATTTTAGTTGCAAGAAAGGTGTTTTGGTTTACATCATTAAAATTTTGGATTCTACCCTCATTTAATTTCAGCTTTTGTTTCTACTATTTGTAAGGGTCAAATAAGGGTTAAAGTCAAAGAGTTTAGGATTTCACTTTTAAAACTAATTTGAACTTGAAGTTTCAAGAAATGATGTTATCTTAGTCTGGCCTTGACATTAAAATTTGGTCGAAGGATTATGCTGTCATGTTCTGTAGTCTTGCAGTTTAGCGGCACATAGCTTCCACCAATGTGTAGTGCGGTCGGGATGTCAAATGTATTCAAAAGAATTCTAGATAGAAAGAGACATTGACCGTGTAGTTGTCAATGCTATTATGCTGCTTTTGAGTACATAAAGAATCATATTCTGAAGGTTTTAGCCCTTAACCTGATAATGTTGGAGTGTATGATAGTGATACTCGTATGTATTGTATGCTATACAAGGAGCTAAAAGAAATGAAGTTGAATGGTTGCGTGTAGTTTTCATTTTAAAAAGCCTAAACTGTGTTGTGGGATAAGTGCAAAAATGGGAGTATAATTTTTCTGTCTTGGAATAATGCCCCATCTTCAGTGTGTATCAATAATTACTTCTTTCTACTCGTGAAAATTGCATGTTTAAAATTTTGATCTGGGTTTATTTGAGTTAACGGAGATATTTATAAGATACTCTACTAATCCTAGCATGCTTTCTTTAATTTTTCTTTCCCATTTTTCAATTGATTGTGGATAAAGGCAGATGTTTCAAAAGGGAATGGCTGCAAAATCTTTTATCTCGACACACTTTGATGGTAATTTCCATTCTCTTTGTTGCACCTTATAGTTTAAATCAGTGGCTATATCTGTCCAAATCTCGCCCAAGGTTTTGGCCAAAATACTACTTCAATCAAGGCCGAACAACATTAAGATTCCACCTTAGTTGCTTGAATTAAATAATTGGTTCCACCATTTTGTTACGGAATCTTTAAGAACCATCTGGCAATGGTTGATGACTTAAAAATGAAGAAGCCATTAGTTGTGGTGTCTGCTTTCCTCTTTGGTCAAGCATTGTTGTTGACTTCTGAACAACTAGCAAATGCAAGTGAAATTACTAGCGGAGATGCCGTCTACGTGATTGGAGAGTTGTTCGAGTTACGAATCCATTTATCTAATCTGCTTTTACTTCTAGGTTTTCTTGGGGTCGGAACCTTCTTTGTAATCCATCAAGTACTTGTTCGTAGAGAACTTGACCTTTCTGCTAAAGAATTGCAGGTAAGAGCCTGTTTTGTCGTGCAAAAGAATGCAGATTAAATCAGCCTTCGATTTTGTTTATTTTTCATTTCTAAATGTCTGATTATTTATTCCAGTAACCATCACAAAACAAAATCCAAATTGGTGAAGACTTTCAACACTTTGTTCCTAGCTTTACAGTGAATTTTGACAGCTCCTTTCTGCTTAAACCTTCCTTAAAATGGTTGTTTTTTATTTCAGGAACAAGTCAGAAGTGGAGATGCCAGTGCAACTGAGCTTTTTGAGCTCGGTGCCGTTATGTTGAGAAGGAAATTTTATCCGTCTGCCAATAAATTTTTGCTTCAGGCAATAGAAAAATGGGACGGAGATGATCAAGATCTCGCCCAGTTATTATATCATTTGGACGATTTCCTCGAGATCATTATCGGCTGTTAACATGACATCCTCGTCCGCTAATGAAGTGTCCTTTCGAGTTGTGAATCATGCACTAAGCATGTGTTCTAAAGGAAGAGCATCGCGAACATCATAATTGCGGACTTTCCTTCTATATATATACTGATTGAAGCTTTGTGAACATGAAATGATTCTAATGTGTTCTACTAATCATTGCACAGGTTTACAATGCTCTTGGTGTCAGCTAAGTTCGGGACGGGAAGCTTGAGAAAGGAATCAATCAATTCAAAACTGCTGTGGAGCTTCAACCAGGATATGTCTCGGCTTGGAACAATCTTGGCGATGCGTACAAGAAGAAAAAGGACTATAAGGCTGCATTGAAAGCATTTGAGGAAGTGTTGCTTTTCGATCCTAATAATAAGATAGCACGTCCGAGGCGAGTTGCCTTGAAGGATCGTATGGAAATGTACAAAGGCGTTCCTATCAAATCAAAAGACATAATTTTGGACCGTGTGACTAAAGGGTTGTTCAAACAAGGCAACAGTCGGGAAAGAAATTGTAATTTATTTTACTGTGACACTTTTAGATTACTTGTTTATGTTGTAAACACTGTAATTTTGAATAATTAAAGTTTGATATCCAGCAAATAACTAAAAGGAAGTAGAATATCCTTCTTACAGTCAAACTAATAATAGTAATAATAATAATAAGAATTCTGGTATCTCACAACATGTATACTTGAGGATGGTGAAATGGTCTAATGAGGTCCGGCCATTGCAGTTCCAGAGTTGAGAGGAACTTGGTTTTTGGGATTGGGGAGTGCAAATATGGCCAACACAGCGCTGATGGTAGCCACGATTGAGCCCAATACAAAGGCTGGTAAATTCCCTCCACCAAACGCAGCATCCAGAGGTCCACTCACCACTGATATTACCATCTGTCAACAACAAACTCTTTTACGAAACCCAATTCTACCGATTTAAGATGAAACAACCCCATCATTACCCAATGAATGGCTTCTATTTTTGGATTTTGCTTCATCTTTCTTCTCAAACTAAAGCAATCATTTGTATAATGCAATGGAAATTGATGCACTTACCTGTGGGATAACTATAGACAAGTTTAGCACTCCCAAGGACAGACCTACAATTTTGAGATATCCTCATCAAAATTATTTCATAATATAGCAAATAGAGAACTGGTACGTATGTTTATACGTGTAACAGCTTGACATACCTTGACCGCCACCGGCGTCTGAGCAATAGATGGATGCCAAGGCGAATGGAATGCTAAATGTTACCTACATGCATGCATGCATCATCGTCATTTTAATAATTTAATTAATAATATGAAAGCTAAGAATACAAATAGATTAGCTTAAAAAACTAAGAATTAATTAAACGCTAAACGGATAAGATAAGGTGACGCGATGATATAGGGGTGCGATGATATAGGGGTGCCCGTGATTCTAAAAAGGAATCACGGACTGCCACTGGAAAGCATTTACATTTTTATTTTTGTTCGACGGTAACATCAAACATTAATGGGAGAGCGGTGTGGATAAGTGTGAATTAAAAAAGGAAAAAGAAACTGACCGCTAATGGAACACCGAGCAGTCCGAAGACAGCCAAAGCAGAGCCTTTGATGTTGGTCGGTGGAGGGGTCAAGATTTGTAGTCCACTTTTATGCCGCCAAGCCTCCGCCACCTTAGTAACTCCCACCGTTGCGGCCAAGCAAGCGGCCAAGATGAAGTTGACCACACCCCACAGATTCTTAACCCCACCTATCAACCGGCTCACAGGCTCCAAACCCAACGACGCAAACGCCAACACGATCGAGTTTATCATCAACCCCAATGCACCCGAACGCACTCCTTGATCGTACAGTTTTTGTTCATTAGCACTTCCCTTTACATTCCCTCCGTATACCTCCACTCCCATCCAGTCAGTGTCGTACAACAAGAACGGGAACCAAGCGATCCAATTGAGGCATGTAACCAGTAGCAATATCCACATTGGCTTTTTCAAGGTCTTGAATGCCGTCACTAACTCTCCGATGAATGCCCGGCCGGATGATCCTCCTTCGTCTCCTTCTGTAGCATCTTTACTCGTTAACGGCGTCTCTTTAACAGTGGTGACAGCGGTTATCGTCACCAACATGAGGAAAACAATGTCGATGAGGAAACAAGTTTTGAGGTTTGCGCAGTAAACGTCACAGGCTCTTGTTACAGTGAAAGGCAGAAGTTTATGGAGGTTGGAGAAGGAACCAGCCGCGTAACCCAGAACGTTCCCGATAGCCATGAAGAACGAGAACCACCCATTGGCGATCCTCATTCTCTTATGATCGTTTGCCGAAAGGTCGGCGAGGAAAGCGCGGCAAGGACCTTGTAACATGTTGTTCGCCACATCGAGGATCCAAAAACCAGTGACGAAGATAGCCACCGCTCTCGGCTTGGTGGGACTGAGGAGTGGATCGCCTGCTCGGTGGCCTATGTCTTTGGCGAAGCCGATGAAGAAAACAGCTACGGCAACGAAACAAGCTCCGGCGGCAATGAAAGGTCGACGACGACCGATGCGGGAGGTGCAGTGATCACTACTGTACCCTACGATGGGTTGAACGAGGAGGCCGGAGATGGGGCCACAAAGCCAAATGAAAGCGGCCCAAACATGAGGAACGCCGAGGGTCTGAACGTAAGGGGTTAGAAGGGAGAGTTGCAGAGCCCAGCCGAACTGAATCCCGGCGGCAATGGCTGAAACCACCACAATATGCCATAGCGGACTTGGGTTTCCGTTTTGACCTGTCTCCATGGAACTGCTGCTGCAATTCAATTCGAACTTTATTATAGAGAGATAAAAAATCGATAAACAAGAGGATGGATTGATTGAAAAGGTCGATGAGTATATATGTTATATGTTATATGTATTCAGAATCTGCGAACCGTGAATCATAAATAATATTACGAGTATGGTAAAATGGAAAGTCTGTAAATTAGGGTAAAGCATTTATTTACTTTAAACTTATCACTTTATTTCCATCTCAGTACTCATGTTTGAAGTCACGTTTTAATTTAATTTTAATTATTTATTATTAAAAAATATCGATGATATTTATATGTCATAAGATAATAATATATTAATAATAGAAAATAATTTTAAAATTTTACATTAATATTACTATTAAATATTTAACATTCATCAAAATATAATATTAAACATGATTTTAAAAAATTAAAAATTAATTGATTAAAATAAAAGTTAAATAATGAATAAGTAATTCACCCTCAAAGTTACACGACACCCGTATTCCGTGTCACGGTAAGTTTTGATCTTAACTTAAATTATAGGATGGATCGATTACGAAAGTAAAGAAATCAAATAAAGTGAAGATCGATTAGAATTAATTGTAATGTCTGAACACTAAAATATAAATCTAAAATGATGAACCTTAAATTTTTGAACGATGCCAGAAGAGAGAATATGGAGTAATGAGTATTTACTGGGTATTTTATGTTATCCATTAACAAATTAACTTTGAAAAGTATTTTTAAAATATTTTCAGAAGCGGATATAAATAAAATAAAAAAGTTAAAAATTTACTCTTTTTTTTATTGGTGTACCGTTTATCTTTTTTTTTATATTTGTTGATCGACGACGACATCAATTTTATTGTTGGTTGTCGACTCATCGGTATTTTTTATTATTCTTTATTTCTTATTTTCAATAAATTTGTTTGTATTACATGTTTTCATATGCTTTTATGACACATGTTCTTCTGTATTTTGATACGTTTTTCAATCGTTTGGATTTGTTTTCTTTAAATATTTTTCTAAGGGTTGATTTGATAACGTCATGACTAATTAAGGTGGCGCTTATATGTTATATTGTTGATCTTTCCTGCTTTGAACCATTGGATTGGATTTTGATACCCAATTCACGTTCATTGATACCCAATTTGTTGATCTCTATTCGATTTTATTGGTTAGATTTTAATATTTTCTTGTATGATACTTATGTGATCTTAAGTGACTAGTTTATTTCAATGATTATTGAAAATTTGTCTTAATTATGTGATTAATTTACGATTATGATTACAAATCTTCATTGTAATTTAAGATATTTCTTATTTAGAATAAAATTAGTGATTTTTACCAAAAGATATATTTTTAAAAAGTTAAATTTAAGATTTTAATATTTAGTACTTATGAGTCAAAAAGTATTTTTTGTAAAGATAAAATGTCAAATTGAAATATAATATCTTTTTCATAATTTAGGATGATTACAAGATAATATATATTCAAAACTTTATTAACCAATTGAAAACACACACGTTGCAGATGCAATACCTTTGAGAAAACAACATTCTCTTTAATCATTGAGTTCATGATAAGTTCTTTGGACATGATAGTTTAAATTGAAAATAAGTTGATTTAAGCGATATCTAAATTCATTAACATTATGTATTCACAAAGATGAAATTAGGATCAAATGTTGAGGGGAATAAATATTTAATACTAAAAGTACAAAAAAATCTATAAAATATTTAAATCTAAAAATTGTGAGGGACAAAAATCTTATTTGATTAATATTTAAACTAAAAAAGACGTAAAATACCATTATACCAAAAATTTTGGAAGGAGCAAGAAATCCCTTCTAGCAATTATGTAGCTTCTATATATACACACACACACGTGAGCAAAACTCAATTTGGAGAAGAATATGGCCCATCAGTTTCCCTTTATTGGAACAATGTTTTTATTTAATTTTGTTCCTAATTGATCAGGTGTTTGACTAGAGTTTATTTTGTGCTACATTTTATGCTTAAATATTCTTTGTTTGTTCATGTTTACTACTGAATTGGATGTTTTTAATGTGCTTTCTATGCAGTGCAATGACTTTTGGAAAATGTGCTTAAAAGGGCCGAAAACTGTATTTTTTTGGGAATCAAGACTAGAATAGTGGGCATGAAATGCTAACGTGGCAGTGAGTCAACAGCTTCTAGAAGACCCAGTCAGCAGCATCCAGTCAACAGCTTCCAGAAGGTGGACGGACGGCTGAGCATTTCAAGCAATTCAAAATTCAAAAATTTTGTATTATCCTTAGGAATTTATTCAAACTATTTTTAGAATTATCTTATGCTTAATCCAGAGTTTTAGAAGGCTATAAATACCCTCTAAGGGTAAGCCTTTTTCATCATTCATTCAATAATAAAACATTTATTTCTTGTTCTTTCTTTTCGCTTTATAAAATTTCTCTTTTTCTTTACTTTGTTTAATTTCTTTTAAGCTTTGTTTTTAAAATGCTAACTATGACTTTGGCCATGCTTAGCTAATTTTCTTCTAAGCCGAGGCCTAAGCGATGACTCAATTCTAATGTGAGAATTGAAAAGCTGTAAGACCCCCAACCCGTACCCGACCCTGATACGAGTTCGAGATGTCACATTGAATTTTTGAAACAATATTCTTACAGAATATTAAAACATTTAAACTCATATTATGAAAAATACAATGATATACTATCAAATTATGCTTCATTATAAAAATTTAAGTCAAAATGTATTTATGAACAGTACTATAAAATATGAACAGTACCGTGAACATTAATGAACAATACCATGAACAGTGCTACAGTGCATCGATGCATTGCTATAGTGCACCGATGCACTAAAATTTCGAAGCAAATTTGTGCATCGATGCATTGCTACAGTGCATCGATGCACTGTTACAATGACTTCGGCAAAATACATATAAATTCATAAAAATCTAAGTTTTCATTCGTATAAAATTACCATTTACATATACACTTTTAAAACATTACAGAACTCGATCATGTGATTTTACAAAACCGATTAAAACATATCGGATTTAAACCTTTATTTACATGCCAACCACTATCCTTATTACAAAATACATACTATACATTTCTTTTCTGATCTGATCTTTGGAAAGGAGAAACTAACTTGTCTTGTATAACTTTTACCAATCTTCTTCTTCTCAGAACCTACGCGTGAAACAATCACAGGCTAAGTCGTTGACTTAGTGAGGCATGAAAACATATGATATTACTCTAGTCATATCAATGTATAAACAATTAATACTATCATATCATACAAAAGCATATACCATTAACAGTACTTATCAGTACTCATATTACTATCACTAATTCCTTTATATTATGTAAGCATATATTGAACCTTTCTATACTCATCATCGGGAATCCATGTCATTTCACAACAGAGCACACATAATATCATATCAAGTTATTTACTATCTTTAAAGCCCTTGTATTAGCCCATGTATACTTTTGAGAACTTAAGGTATGTGAGTACATTGAGGTTGTGCACCACTATGCTGTCACCACAGCTCGTATAAATGTCCCGAAGGACCAGTCCATAGATTCCGAAGAACCTAGGTAAACAATCCATATGTCCCGAAGAACATAGGTAAACAGTCCATATGTCCCGAAGAACATAGGTAAACCCTCGACCCTTGGCATGTCAACTATACCCTTGGCATGTCAACTATACCCCTAGCTCTCAGATCACATAACATGGGCATTATCATTTATAACAGTTCACATATCTCTTCTTTTCTGTCACGTATCACAAGTACGTGTAATCATTGATCTTATAATCACATATTTCTTTTCTTCTTTCATATACCATATATATGTGTAAACATTTGTTTCATATCATATAACATGTATCACATGTACATATAATCACATAGCATATAAACTTATACATGTATTCATATATATACTTACATATATTTCGTGTATCCATGCCAAATAACTTATGCCACATAAGCATCATATCAATCAAAATTCAAATGACATTTAAGGAGTCACTTCTTACCATAGTAACTCTGTCACTGGCTCATCGCAAGGCAATGTTTATTTAATAATATAAGTACAAATTAAATTACACTCATCTTAGCCTTGCTTTCTTTGATTCAATTCTAACTCTTCGATTGTTCCGTAACTCGTTTAGGCTCGATATCTACATAACATAAATTTCGAGACGTTTTTCACAAGTCTAAACCTTATAACTTGGTATTAATAACTTAGGCTAATTTAATGAACCAAAATTCCATTTTTCCTTTAGGGGTGTATCGATGAACTATAGGTGCATCGGTACACAAAATAGCTTCAAAATTCCCATACATCGATGCACTCCTTAATGTATCGATGCACCTTCAAAATTTGTCTTAGTGTATCGATACATACTCATAGTGTATCGATGCACCTGCCCAGAAATCACAGTTCATGCACGAAAATTCACTATTTCCAACTTCAATTCTTCATGTTTCATTCCCTTTCATATTATTAATTCAAATATACATACTTAAACCAATTTCTACTCATTTATCACATCTCAAACCTCAAAATCCTATTATCCATATTAAAATCAATAATCATACCCAATTTTCAATATACTCTAAATTCAATTCTATCACTTCATATTTCTTAATTAAGTTGATGACAAGTCAAATTTAACTTCAAATTCAACTTATCACTTTAAGACAACTTAAGTTTTCCTTAAGCTTAGTTATCATCTAATTATCAAAACACAACCATAAAATCAACAAATAATCAACTAATTAAGAAATTCACATTTGCTTGCATGCTCCACGGTGGAGAAGAGAAGAAGATGAAGAAAACGAGAGAATTGTGTGGAATCACCATGGATTCCACGTGGGTTTCCCTTATCTTATAAGGGAAATAAAAATCTTTTATGTCAAATAACCATTTTGCCCTTTAATTATTTTAATAATTACTAACAACTTTCAGGAAATATCTCCACATAAATCATTGAACTATTCAACTATTCTACTTTTATCACCAAATTCTAAAATTTTACAATTT